GCGATAAAATTTGATAAAAAATTGTACATACATAGTAAGAAAACTTATATTACACTAATTGTAGTTTAAATCACTTCACACAGTAATTCGAAAACATATCTACTTTCGCATGCACGAAACCATAAAGCGGCGAAATGCAAGATGAAGAGAACGGAATGAAATGCGAGCAAAAATGAAGAGGGACACGCGGGGAATGCACGGTTGTTGCCACTTCGATGAGATCGTTAAAATTAACGAGCATGTTTCAGCTGCTCAAAAGTGTCGCATGCTTCTCTTTTTCTCGTGTGCCGAACAACGGTTTGTGCGGCAGATAAGTCTTTTTTTCGGGACACGAGATATGTTAAGCAAAGCGATAAAAGTAGCATTACGATGATATCGAGAGACTATTAATTGGCTAATCATTTATAAAGACATATATAATATGTACACATATAAAGCATGCAATTTTGTACATGCAGACAAATACTACGATATTAAAACACTGGATGCGCATCGTCACTGCGAATGCTATTTCGACGCAACATCCAGGTATGCATCAGCGCGAGATGCAGCGGCGTAACGCATTTCCTGCTACAAAGTGCTCGCTTCCCGCGGAATGCCTTGAAACTACTTGTCGGTTTACGTAATAAACAGAGAACTATTACTGGGTTACAAAGTCGCATCATGATTTAACAATCCGCATGCAAACTCTTTGAAATGCGATTCGCATTCGTGAATACGTTTAGTCAAATTTTTTTCCAAGCTACGCATGCAAGCGGCGTGTAACGCATAAAAAGCGGTATAATTTACATTTTTCATTAAAAATTTTTGCTGGAACATCCTCATTGTGTGTGCGCTATTAATAATAATAGAACCTCGCAATACCGTTTTTTTTACGGTTCAAAGTCAAGTTATGCGTGCAATAAATAAAATAATATGGAAATTACGCAATCAATTTTACATGTATAATATATGAGATTTACCGTATTCAAAGTATATACTACCGTAAAAAATCTATATGATATCTGTCCAGAATAACGATATAAATCGCGCTATCAAATTACGCTCGTGGGATCGTCATATCCTTTACATGGCCAACTGATTTTTATCGCCGCGTACGTTAGACCGCCAATTTCTTGTAATACTTATAGACGAGGACCGTACTCTCAAAAATCTAACGATCCGTGCACGTAAAACGGGACCCGCTGCCTGTACGACAGTCGAGATTCTCGCGAATTAGGGTGCACGCGTCCGAGAAAAATGTACGTACATGCATGGCAGTAGATATGTCAGGACGTGACGAATGCGATCGTATTACGGGGAAAAGGTCTGCCTTTATCGCCGCATTACATGCTCGCATTTATTCGTATACCCCCACCCACGAGTTCCGGTCGTCGTTTCGACGTTCAGGTCCGAGAACACCAGAACGACTTATATTTCTTTCCCTCGCCAAGCTTACGTTAAAGAATGAATACGAAAATTATGGCCATAAATGTTCCACAATTCCATAATTCTTTAGAATTACTCTCTGTGAACATGAAATACTTTGAGAAAAATAAAAAATAAAAAAAAACGCAAAAGAGTACTTAATATTTATATTAAGAAACAAAAGTTACAAAATAGAAAATAATAACGCGTATCGAAACTTCTAAGTAGTCGCCGATATTACTTGCAATGCTTATGCTTTAAATTCATAGCAAGAAGACAAATAGACTATAAATATCCAATTGGAAAGGCAATTTAATCGGCAGAGAAGGAAATCACGATTTCGCTAAAGGTCGTCGGGGCTATTTCTTTCAGCGGTTCGACACTAAGCACTCGGCATTGTGCGCTTCTGCAGCTAAAAGCATTTCACGAGGGCGAAACGCGCGCGAAGGAAAGTGTCAGTGTATGTAGGTTAAAATCTGTTGATATACGATTCACGCGCGTGGGATCACCTTTTCCTACATCCTACATAGTGTCGTCCTTCCTCTTTCTTCCTCTCGCGCGCGCACTTTTGCTTTCCTTTCTTTTTTCCGTCGTCGGCTTCCCGTGCCTCTGACGGGAACCAAATGGTGGGGTTAATGCGCGCACACGCCACGGGGTGTCAACCAATTTCCGGGTTCAACTAATGCACTTATCAGACGGTCAGAAAGGATCCCAAGAGAAAGCCCGTGGGGAGGAAAAATAATTGAGACGTCCCACTCTCGTCACGGCTGGAGAAGGCAACGGCGTTTGTAAGGAAGAGGCGCACGCCGCAGTAAAGCAAAACGAATTTTAACCTTTTACAATCAAGAGCGCACGCATCCTAATTCGACGCGAGTAACGCCCAACAGAGATTGCTGACGAATCAACAGAGTTGCGAACTCTCGTTTTGGTAATTGGAAAGTATCCAGTGGAGATGACATTCCTGGCCTTTCGTCCTCGCGCAATCTCAGCCGCAATTAATCATTCGCCGGTGCCGTAGCGCGTTCGTGTGAGCCGAGCGGGTTTTTTTATTTACACGCTCGCGGAAAGTGCGGCGCGCGTAAAAGTCGAAACAAAGCGTTCGTGAAACGGGCGCGGGGGGATTCGGCTTACCACCCACTGAATCGGACAGTCATAAGAACGGAATATTTAACTGACGCACTTGTCATCGGCGGCAATTCTCAAAGACGTCCCCGTCGTTTAATTAGTCTCGAGAGTAAAGAGCTCAAAGAGCAGAGGCGCGAAGAAATTGGGATGAGAATGCAGCTGTCGCGTGGGCGCGTTGCGACGCAAGCATTTCTTTAAGACACGGTCGTAATTAGATTCCGTCGGAGAAGCTAAAGAGTAATTATACGGAAGGCGTCGTCGATACTGCGCCACACGCGTTGCAACCCGAGTTCTTAAGTCCCGCTTTGATCGAGTTCCAGCGGGGAATCGGATGAGGAAGTGAGAACATAGAGAACGCTATGTTTTCGAAGGTACGCGCGTTCCGCGATACTTTGGGACGCGTTTCGCGCGAACATGTGTTACGAAAACCGTCGAATTATAACCGGGATATTTTTACGGCGACGCTTTCGCCGCTTTGCACTTGCTACAACCGCACTCTCGACACGGTCGGCGATAAAATACAATTTCGAGCACGCTCGCGAGTATATCACTCGATACGATCTCTACACTTCGCCAAGAATTATATAGGAATGTCATAGATTCGCGCTTTCTCTAATTCCCTTTCTCTCGTTTAAAAATCGAAATGCTTCAACGATGAACCAATTCTACTAATAAATTTACGAGGAAACTGAGATTTCTCGGGATACTTTTAGCCAAACAACAGCCGTCGTCGTTTTATCTTACGGCAACCAGCGCGACGACTATCGTCTAATCTATTCCGAGCGTAATAACGAAATATTAAAGATGCAATATGATACCGCGATTCTCGACGGATCCGGCGGTGTTGAACGCCGAGGTGACGCAGTGACACCACGTGGACGTCACCGACGTCGCAGCGGCGGCGGCCGCGCCGAATTTCTCAGATTACATAAACCCAAATAATCTCGTGAGTCATTCTAATTCTGGCCGACGGGCTTGCACCGTTTTCCACGTTCGTCTCCCTGCTTCTCTATCCGTCTTGTTCTCAATCTCCATCCCTCCTTCGCGCATTTTCAGTCTTCGCCCAGCCGCCTCGCCGCGTCTGTCTGGCACACAAATAGCCGCGACGTGTGTGACGACAGTCTCTCGCATACACGATGGCCCACTTTTCCACGTGGATCCCGAAATTAAAGAGCAGCCGATGAGAGAGCACCGTTTGCCTTTTCATTTTCGTCGCGGGCAACGCGCGTTAAGAGCGTTGATTTCCTGCCGCGCTTCCTTCCTAAATGGCACGCTCGGCGCTGCTTGATTAAAAGCTCCCGATAGACAGCAACGGGGAATAGAGAAAGTTTCGTGCTTTTTACTCCCGAAATTCAATGACGGAACAAGACAAACCGGAATTGCAATCGCGTCCTCGCGTGCGATTTACATCACATCGGCGTTACACGCTGCTCAAAAAAAATTTATGACTATATTTACTCGGAATACTTCCGACAGTGAGAATATAAAATGAACATAAAACATTTTCTACTCGTACTGTTCAACCTTTGGAACGGGTAAAATATTAAATGAAGCAGCTAATTAAGAAAGATTACTGTTTATTACGTGACGTGACATGAAAATTGCAACTGAAATCAAGCATTTTCGATCATGGCTAACATAACTGAGCTTTTTACTTCCGGCGGAAAACAACCATTTCGAAAAAGGGATTTTCGGCCACAAGAGAGCCTTCGACCGGAAAATAAATAAACGGTCGCACGTTTACGCACGCTATATCGCGTGTCGCGCTGAAAAATGCAGCGAACAACGTCGAGTGCATTCCGCGCTTTTTAACGATAATTCGACCAGCCACATTTCGTCCGATGTATGATTGCGTCAATGTAATTGCGATCGTGGGATTCACTGGCCGTCCCAGATCTCCTATTCACGGTCCATTTTCACGAGACAACGACGACTCAACCGCATGTCACGGCCTCGTATGCGAGGTCGTAGGTAATGGGAATCGTTACGCTTTAGCTGTAACTTCAGCGCCAGGGCCGCAAGAGTTGCGTATAATAAAAAAGGTCAAAAATGGAAAAACAATCAGACTTCAAGACTCGTTTCCTCGTCAGTTAACTTTAATTTTAAAACCCAAAGCGTAAAGAAATAAAAAGTAAATAAGCTATGATTAAAATAATCAATAAAACTATGCGACATAAATTGCACAAATATTTTTGACCATCAAACATTTGAATTACCGAGCCCGTTTCTTAATTGTAACTCAAATTACAAGAAAATAATTTAGTTGTGCAGAGTAAATGTTAATCAATGTTGATGTAAACAATTCTTAATTCTTTTTTCCTAGAGAGAGATAATTGGAAAGAATTATTGTTAATTGGAAATAATTGGAAGAATTTCTTTGGATATTTATTTCAACGAAAGCTATTTATTTTAACGAATATAGCTGTAGAAATCGAATGGTACGCTTTTTCCAGCAACTAGGCACAAATACATCCCTGGCCCGTTTTATCAGATTCACACATCAGTATAAAAGTACCGGTCCGATGCGATTCGGAAGGAAGTCGCCGAACAACGCTGTGCAACGATGACGAGAGCGATGCTGGTCGCAGTTTTAATACTGTTTTCGATCTCCAGTGTAAATTTGGTCGATTGTCTGATTCAGGACAGCCTGGGAAGATTTCTGGGGACTTTCGCCACGGTTAAACAGTATATTTTGATCGTTAATATCCTTGTGCAAGGAGACGCGTATTTTTCGTTCCGCGTTTGTGTAACCACGTGACTTTCCTTTTCAGAGTGAAAATACCTTACTTGCTGAATCAAGTGTGCGACGATTCGCAAGGTTCTAACACGACGCGACGCGACGCTTGTTACGGCTGCTTCTACCGCGCGAGCGTCTTACCGCAGGATTTCTCCATGCTCGTAGCGATGTCGATGTGCGCCGACAGTTATCTTAACAACACCAGCTACGGTCACTGTCAGGCTTATTTACGAGTAGGTGCAAGGATCGGCCGTTTATATTCCTTTTTTCTAAGATATTAATTCTGCATTTTTTAAATTGAATATATATAGCAAGTTGATTTTGTTTTATCTAGAATGTGACCAGTACGCCCAACATGCGAAGTCCTAGGTTAATATACTGCTCGTTCCTCGAATGCATTCGTCAAGTCAATAAGGACACTTTGGTAAGATTGAACTTTGAACCAACAGCTATTAGATATGTTACATTGTTCTGCGATTGCCTTTACTGCCCTTAATGCAGCACGTCCTCATTGAATGCTATCGTCATCTTGCTCTATTTAGAGTACGTTCGTTAAACACACACTTGCAAACTTTCGTTTCCAAGTATCGGCACTTAGAAGTTAATATCGGGAAAAAATTAATATAAATTGCTCACATTTATTAATTATTTAAAAATTCTGCAAGCATCTACTAACCGATTAAATATCACTTTCCATTTATCTGTTTTAGTGCATAATGCTCGATCTGTAAATATTGTAAATAAATAATGAGAAACCTATTGCAAATATTATCTAGATTGTCGATGTCAGAGGACCTAGCAGATCGTCGCGAAGTGCGCTGTGGCGAATCAAGCAACAAAAATCTTTTCTATTCTCAAAGATTGTAGTGCCGAGAAACAGTGTTTGTATAATTAGACAGACTAATGCAGTTGCTAATACAGCCACCACTGTCCGCACATTACCTATAAATCCGCGCAGTGGCAAGCAGCAACCTCTACATTCTTGAGACTACGACTTTCTCGTTTGGGAATGCACTGATGATGTTTCTCTATGCGAGATCGTAATCGCGCGGATTGTCTCGCGCGTATTCCGCGAACTATGTAATTATCTTGTATTATACAATATTGTACAGTCTCCTGTTATACACGTTGTGTCGTACGTATTTTATGGATTCCAACTGCACGGTGAAAACTAACACGAGAACGCGAAGGACGCTCGACCTCCCGCTGACGAATACTTTCCGCAGCTCAGGGGATGTGTTCGCGAAGCCGCAAGAATGTTCCCTAACTTCAACAACGTTTACGTAAACTACACGGAGACGCAGCTCGCGCAATTGTTCGTCAACACCACTGCCTGCGTGTTAGCGAAAACCCGTTGTTCCTACATGAACCCGGTAACCGGCGAGCTTCAGGATGATGACATCGCCAACAAGCTGCACCTACCGTCATTCAACGCCATCCTCGTCAACACCGACTACGACATCAACATCGTGCAGCTGCCGTTCCGTTACGGCAGCGCCGACGTGTGCACAAAATACAGAAACGTCCGGCAAGCGACTTGGCCCAGTGTCGTGTGTTAATTTACAAACAGATATTATCGCGCCAAGAGAGCCGGGCGGTATCCTCGGCGAGTTAAATGACGCACGGGATGGTTTTACCAAGCAGCCGTTGCGGAATGAAATTACCGTGCCGCTTGTTGTTCGCGGTAAAGATTTGTTTCCGTTGGCGCCAACATTTCGATCATTTGTACCGTTTCGTTTCGCCGCTATTAATACGAGCGCTCGGCAGTTACGTGCCAAGAAAATATTTACACTAGAAAGACAAAGCTTTGTGTCTCTTCTTAAGAGAATTCTTCAAGAAATCTCCAAAAAAGAATTGATTCTTAAAAAATTTCACTTTTCTATCGCAATATTAATAGAATCGCAGTCACTATGTTTACAAGAAAAATGAAATCCAATGTGATGTAAAAAAATGTATATTTATTTTTAAATTAAAAAAAGTAGAAAAAATATACCTCCATTTTTCTATGTTTAAGTCATTGTCTCTTTCTTGTTTGACTTGAAGAAGAAAACAAAGATGTACCAAAAAAAATACAAAAAAAACCAATGAATTAAAACGTACTTTGCAGCTTTGCTCGATAATGTCGCAGCAATTAGACGACTCAAGCAGTCGACTAATAGTCACGAAGAATTAGACGAGTCATTCAAAAATTCGCGATATGCATCGTTTAAAACAGGCAACTTTTTGCAGAAATACCTCTCACGTTTTCACAATAACGGAATGTTAGAATATTCAGATATAAGATACGTGTACGTAAAAGGTACCGCGCGCGATGCATATTATTTTTTCGTGAAAGAAAAGTTTCCTTTATATCCGAGCACGCGAGCGAGCAAGTTTCCATCTCAAGGATCACGACGCGCGTTTCGGCGTAACTTTTTCACAGACGCAATCCGCCGAATCCCGCAGGCAAAAAGGAACCGATACCATGTTATTCCCCTATCTCTCTTCCTCTCATCCTGTCGTTTCCTCATCGTCGTCAAATCGCGCTTCATCGTTTTCTCAAGACTGTGCCAGGTGGATAGATGTGTCGCTGCCTGACGAGGACTCGGCATGCAAACAACTTCATAACGACTTCGGTCGTCGAGCGTGAAAATTCGCAAATATGAACTCACCCGGTGCACGCCCATCGGGCCGCCGTCACGTAATTTTTATTTATTTTCGTCAGAGCACGCGGTGGATGCGAAAAACGCAAATAAACACGGGAAGATGCGCGCCACGAGTCGGCAGTCAAGCAGAATTTTCTCGACATTTAGACGGCGAAAACCCGCCCGTAAAACTTCCTGGCAAATTTTAAGATTTCGTGAAATAGAATTCGCAGCGCAAAGCCGGCAGCAAATAAATATTTAAATGACGCTAGTATGATTTCGAGAATCGTCCACCGCGAATCGTCGGCGTGCGAGAATGTTCTTATGTTCTAATGCGTTCGTCTGTGGGCGAGCGGTTAATCTTTTTCGCGGAAAGCTCCATCTGTATGTATCGATAAGCCACGTTTGTACATCCGCGAAAAAGAAAAAAAAAGAGAGCAGAGAAGAAGAGAAGCGGCGTAAATAAATAGGAGAGATCGCTTCATTGCGCGGTAGTGACGCTTCACTTAACATCTTCCTCGAAATAATTTGAAATATGCAAATACAATTGGCGCACGCATTTGCGTGCGACGCGAGAATGTGTATCGCGAAGAAAGGAAGAGAGTAGACGAGAGACGCGAAGACCGCGCGTGTATATTCGAGTGGCTCACGGTTCAGTTCTCTCGGAGTCAATCTAACTTAATATGCAGATGCAATACGTGGAATCGAGAGATGGTACAACGAAGCAAGGGGAACCCTGAGTCACTCCTAGCGTCGCTGTCTTTTCCATACGCCCGTCCTTACCACAACGCCGCACTTTTCTAATCGATAGCTGCAGTTATCAGAACGATTATTGACAGGCAAGAGACACAGTAATTTAGCGTTTAGTATTTTAAACGAAAATTCTGCAATTTAGAATAAAAAGCGTAATATTATAATTTATATTCAAAAGATAGCATTGCAACTTTAAAGAAAGCAATGTTGATCTGAGAAAAGCGGCAATATAAATGATAATAAAAATTTGTGTATGTTGCTAATTAGAATGTTGTTATTTCTACTTGACAAAATATTTTTTAAATGCAATTAAAGAATACTTAAAAAAAAATACGCCCCCCAGACCCGTATTAATATCGAGGAGTCCCAAGCTTTTTCTTGACAAAGCTCAATGCATGCAAACGACACTCGTATATCAATTAAAGATACAAGAGAAATATCAAGGAATATTCATCGAGAGATTAATTCAATAGCACTCGTGAGCTTAGCGAATTTCGCTTTCAGACGCAAATACAATTCATTGAGAATTAAACGGAAGAATATCAGGACGTATTCAGCCCGCAATTTATACGATCCCCTTTTGAACTTCCGCGCAAACCTCTCGCGCGTGAGTGCGCACACGCTACAACCTACGATACAATATATTAATCACTATAATAAATGATGAAGCTAAGCTGTGACTTTCGAGAATATCACAGAAACCCCAAAACAGAGCTTCCTTTCAGGCGGTGATAGCTCTCAAGCCAATATCCACTTTCGAATTTCAAGTAGGTCAGGTCGATTACAAACATCCCGTGCGCCACGAGTGCCGTCGCTATTTCCAGCCGATCATCGCTAGGAATGCATTAGCCGCGAGGAATCATCGACAGATCGGTCCGGTGACAATCACCGTACGACCTCGTTTTCGAGAAACCGACATCGATGATGCCGACGACGCGAGTGAATCATGCGAAACGCAAACGGCGATTGCGCAAGCGGCGGCATCATCAAGTGTGGAGGCGTATGTACGGGCGTAAACAGCTTCTCTTGACAGAGAGAAAAGGCACGCGAGAGAGAGAGAGAGAGAGAGAGAGAGAGAGAGAGAGAAGAGACGGAGGGGAGAGAGAGAGAGAACGAAAAATTAACCAAGCCACGTCATCGAGAACTACGTGAAATCAGGACGGCTCATCGCGTTTCCATCTGCTCCAATTCGTGCACGTCCTTCCTAATGCGTTAACGAAGAAAGGTATCAAAAATCTCGATCCGAAAAAGTTTCGTTCTCAGATACACGCGAGAATGTAAGCACGTTATCTAAACTAAGAATTTAGAGTTTTTATGATTTCAAATGAGATAAGATTAAGAAAAAACCGCTTAAGAATAAAATATTGTATAATCGTCTCATATAAAATGTTGCTTTTATATGTAATATCAATAATTTTCAAATAATTTCTGAAAAAGCACAATATATGTGATTGAAAAAAGTCAGTAGTCAGTAAATCAGTTAATCTGAATGATTTTTTAATTATTTTATTTCTAAAAAAACAGAATTATGTAAATTTAAAACTATTTCGCTGAAAGAGATTAATCAATCTCATTGAAAAAACGTTAAAATATATAATTTATTCTTAATAATCACGAATACTACTATCTACTTAAAAGTCCGAGACAACAATAAAAAAAACTGTCAGTTGTTAATCTAAAAGCTTCTCGATTCGCACGAATTGGATAAGTTCCAAGAACACAATTTTCTGTGATCTATATTCTACATAATCGCGATGTAATCTCTCATAACTTAGCGTGACTGCTTGAAATAACGTACCGCTTCCGGCGCATTTTTATCCCCATTCTTCTAACATCACAAAACATGTGTGTGTATCTGCTGTTCTTAAGCACAATTTCTTCTCATACAACAACACGGGCTAAGTCGTCAGGATAAGATCGACGGAAGTGTAAAAATTGAACAATGTATATGTGCGGGCCAAAAAAAAAAGCATCTTTGTAAATCAAATTGCATTCTATCGGACCTGAGCAAATGTAGATGATCAGAAAAGAATAAACCATCCGTCGAAATAATGCTAGCCACGGAAAGAGATGTGATTTTTTTTCTCGGCAGAATAACACGCATGGAATGTTCATGAATATAATAATATCGGAACATAGTATCGCAATGCAGGCAATGGCGATGACCGTGAGCGAATGTGCATTTATCGGTTCATCTTGTCAGAAAACGCTGATGACGATTACCTATCCTACACGCAATCCCAATGCGACCTGGACGCGCGACCGACTATTTCTCTGACCTTTACCTAAATCCTACCTAAATCCTACAACAATTATTAAAATATACCCATGTCATCCGTGTTTCATGCTTTTTGAACTTTAGACATTCTACATTCTCTCTTATCTTCCAAAAAAAATTTAAACGATGTCATGATATAGAAGTTTGCTAATTAATTAATGTTAAGAAATTATGTGCAAGTTTCTCAATAATTATTATAATATTAGTAAAAATAAACTACTCAAATAACATTACACAAAAAATTTAATGTTGTAATTGCAATTTCGTGAATTTTTTTAATTTACTTACGCAAATTTATTTCTCGCCGACATATCTTATCAAATAAGTATTTGCATTAATTACACCAATTGCAACTTCTATTTTATATCAATTTTAGACAATAAATAAATAAATTTGTGAAAACCAGTTGTTTGATAATCGTGGCGACATCTACGAGGGGCTTCACAAAGTCTCACGCGGTTGCTCTTCACTAAAAATGTTCGCGGCTATGCTCGAACCGCTGATCGAACTGGTTTCGAGTAGAGTCTCGGATAAACCGGAAATCTTGCGGGATAGCTCACAGACATTTGTCTAACGTGGTCACGCAATTTGTCTCTTAATGGCAACCCGGAAATCCCGTACGTTTCGTCGAAGTAAACTAACTGCAATTTCTAATCCAGCTATTCCAGCCGATGTTTTAAATTGATTGCGATAAATCACTCCACACCGATTTTCCACCATGTAGTATAACAACATTGCGATTCTACGAGTAAATATATGCCAAGTGCTTCGTAGAATCTCCGAAGAAACTATGGAGGAATTTAATCACGATATGTGTTCGAGCAAGGAAAGTGCTTCCAAATAAATTTCAAAAACTAATAAATTAAATTTACAAATTGAAATAAGTTAAGACTAATTCATCATCAATTTATACATACATACATATATATATATATATAAATAAGAAAATATGGAAATAAATTATATGCTGAAAAGATTTTTAACATTGTTCATCATATCTAATTTAGTGTTTTGCATATTGATTTAATCGGTTACGATATGCCCCAATAATAAAGGAAAGATAAAAAGATGCAATTATATATTTTTTGCAACGCCTTCAAGCTACAAAGTCGTCTCCCCTAATTATTTTCACAGTGCTCGATCGGCCGTTACACTCCTATTAATTGACGGGTCAATTGATCCGAATTAAGGCGGCGCCCAGTGGATTCAAATTAAGATCAATATCTTAGATCGTGAATCGGAATATTACTGCAACTGCAGTATCGATCAACCGTAAATTTCTTATGTTCAAACAATGGGAAACCGTCCGTAATTTTGCACCTCCTTGTATGAAACCTCCTTGTATGCGACCAGCATCTACCATGGAACGCGCCGCTTTAACATTATTACAATCCCCTCGAAAAGAAAACTGCTTTACGAGTTATAGAAAGCTCTATTAACTTTAAAATCATACGCGCATATATAATAATCATCGACTTTACGCAATGTCCTCTTCTAATATTTCATTACATAAAATGTGTAATAATCATTTTTATGGAATATTATATTTTCACACGAAATTCTATTAAATATAAAGCGGTATATATATATCAGGTCATTAACTTTATATTTTCAAACAAGATTTTTGAATATTTCCACATAGGATTTAAAATATTTCTATACAATGTCGCAGATTAACCATATCACTCATTAATTATAGATTTCTGAGGTTATTTAGAGGCAAAAATCTTTATAAATATCAAAATATCGAGGCTACATTAGTTTTTAAACGAGAAATATTTAAAATTGACTGATCAGATTCTTAAAAATTCACGCGCTCAGGCGCTGCTATTAACGAGTGATACAATTAGCCTGAAATACCTTGTATATTTTACATCTGTTCTTTCAGTAATATTAAAATAAAAATAAAATAAAATATTAATAAATTAGATTGATTCACCGGCACGAGCAGCCAGCACGTGCTAATTTGATCCGATTTATTTATATTCTATTTTATTTTCATTTTTATTTTAATATCATTAAGAGAGAATAGATATAAAATATATTTAAATATATTATTATAAGATATTTCCGACCAATCGTATCACTCGTTAATAGCAGATTTCTGAGGTTTATATGATAAGAATATAAAAATCAATATGCGACGCGCTTGAACGCGTAAATTTTTGAAAATCTGATTGATCAACTTTAAACATTTTCCGTTTAAAAACTATATATTTTAGTAGTCTCGATATTTTAATATAGATATAGATTTTTGTCTGCAAATTACCTCAGGAACCTACTATTAGTGAATAGTACGATTGATTTGGAATACTCTGTATAAAAATATTTTAAATCTTATATGGAAATATTCAAAAATCTTATGCAAAAATATAAAGCTTTAAAATATTAAAAGAAAAGATTGAACAAGAAGCTTTTCCCAGAATAAACATGATTCTATTCTAGGATACCTAGAATTTCTAGGACATACGATAAACTACTTTCAGCATCTGCATCTAACAGTCCTTAACAAGAATGTTCATTTATCTTATGCAACATCACGATCTCCATGATGCAATTGTGCAGATTGCCATCTGACGTAAGCGAGCGCTCGCGTAATCATCTATATTAAAGGTTTCGCCTACGTCATACCACGAATATGATGTCACGTTAGTAGAGAATTTCTCATTACTTATTTAAATACATTGCATTTAAGTTCTAAAGCGCACAAGCAATGATTAGAGATCCATCTTATAAGAAGTATTGTATTTTATTTATGCGTTTTATCATTCATTTAGCATATCTTTATCATTCCATCTTGCTTTAGATTAATAACATAGCGCGATAAAATACAATAAATTAACCCATAATAAAAAGTAACGTGAAAGTCTTGGCGTATGTCTATGAATTTAAATGATTGTAATTAAAATAATTATAATCAAACTTTGAGTGCTTTGCATGAACAATAAATAAAAAATTAAGTTCAACAATCATAGATAAAAATGTCAAATTTTATTATAATTTACAGAATTTTGCAGTACTTGATTGCAAATTGATATCATGAATCATAGTACTTTATTACTCAAATATTTTTAAAAAATTATAGGAAAGAATAAAGTGTAGTAAATAAAGTAAAAAAAGGTGTAAAATTGTTTTAAAATATTAAAGAACGATCGTTAGCAATAAAACATTTTAAGTAATGCTACAAATTTGAAGATGCAACATGCCGATATGATAAGACTAGCACGTTATAAATGGATATTAATAAAGCCAAGTTCACAGGATGAACAAGTACAGTTTACCGGGAGACTGGAATCTCTGGCGTCATCGTTGTCAATGACGTCACCGTCGACGGGAACAGGTGATAGCCACTGTCAACGAGTGACGTCAAAGCGAAGCGGACATCGAACCTGGCCGGCGCGTTTGCGCAGACTATACGATTGGCCGATGCGACATGCATGTACGCGATGTTCGCACACACAGAAGATATTCCGTGCGAAAATTGCAATGTACAAAATTAAATTATATCGATGCATAAATAACAATCATGTTAGTCGAGCAATTACGGCGGCGAAAGTCACGAGAGCGCGCATAACAGTTGATAGCTCACCGTAGACCGCGACCGTCACTTCGTCCGATCTCGTTTTGTATGAAATGTCATGACTTACCAGTGACGCAGGATTGTCAGTCATGCTTCGGGGTAGCTTCCCACGCAACGTTCTAGCCAGGTGATGGTCCACCCGTCGAAATGCACGCACATTCACAACACAGCACTACAATTCACGGAAACCGTCGCGGCCATTTTAGCACTACGGCGATGTCATATGCGACGATCGTATGCGAAGCAACAGCCATCGAGCTGCCATCTCCCGGATAAGAAACAAAATATAAACATGCTCGCCGTTGATAAATAGCTTTGTCTTCTATATCCCTTGGTGATTTACCATCCCTTCATATATCTTACCATTCGATTATTATCTTATTCTAGCTATCAGAGAGCGCTGTAATACATGACAGAAATTTCCAAGCTTGCAACGGCAAAAAATTCAAATAGCGCGGTTCGAAGAATGTAAAGAGTGAAGTGGCTGATTTCCCGCCGAAAAACGATATGCACATATTTAGCAATTACCATGTATCTTTCAATGCATTTCAGACGAAAAGTAACGCGAAATATGCGAAGGCAAGCAGAATTTCAGGCGCGCAGAAATAGATCGTTAACTACCGAAATAATATTTATGTATAATCACTGTTAAACGTGGCGTTCAGTACATTACATTTAACATTTTATGAGATACTCACAATAATTCTTTACAAGCATTCTTTGTATTCATTTTTTAACAATTATATCAAGAAATACGAGGTAAACGAAGAAATTAGAGAATTATCAAAAAGCATATACGTACAATCGTGCAATGATCATGTAAGCGACGCACTCTCGATGCACTGCAACGGGAAATAACACGATAAGCGCGAAGAGAATTCCGAACGATACTTGTAATACATAAATTGTTGATATCAAAAGCGCAATAATCACGATTGCAAGACACACAACGGACGAATTTCTTGCACTTTGTGAGAAACATTTGCAACGGCTTTCGCCTCAAATTTTTAAGATGCTACCAACATTATCAATTAGATAGTTACAAACTAACTACCAACTATCAAGCGCAAAATAATTTGAATAGAATCCCTACTGACTTGTTCGCAAGCTCGAATGATAATTCTATAAATTTTAGACACAATAAAAATAAAATCTAATTTCAAAAAATATAATTAACGTGGCTATATATTATTAATTTTCGGAAAATAATAGCTAGATCTCTCGAAAATCAAAGATATGTTTAATACGTTTAAAAAATATATTTTTATAGCAAATCACATTGTGTATAACACAAAATGTTATGATGTTTCAAAAAGAATAGAAATTATTACCTGACCATCGCCTTAGTGGTCTGCCTTCTGAAGATTATAAAACAAACGCATGTATTGACCTAGCAAAATGACTAAGCATTTTCGATGCATTTTGAATGCACGAACGCACCGCGGCGAGAAACAATGCGATGTGTACAAAAATAATTTCGAACGGCATTAATAATGCAAAGAGTAGATCGCCGATACTAAAATCGCAATAATACCGATTACATGAAATAATTAACAAAGCACTACAAACTTCCGACTCCCGCACGGCACAAGAAACATTCTCGAAAAGAATGAAGTTTGTCGCCTTTACTATAACAAGTCGTAAATGAATGAAATACGCGGTAAATTTAAACGTCCAACTCTTCCTACGCTATGATTCGCTATTTTGCGCTCTTGTTACTCACTCTATCGGAATTTCACAAAATTACAAAGGTTATCTTCTCAACCAATTTTTGCCAATTTCACACTGACGTTTCTAACCTAATAATAGTAATTATTAGTATACATCAATATATATCAAGATTAGTGCGATAATACAGCCTTTATTTTATATTTTGCCAAATTAATCTTGGAAAATTGGTATAAAGCGGACAATAAATAATAAAAATTCACTATTTGAAGAAAATGGCAACTATTGCAAGAATTTCACAAACAAATGTCGTGCAGGCCACTAAAAAACATACCGCTACTGTATTTTTCTTTCATGGTTCCGGTAAATTAATATATAATGATCTTTCTTGTTCTGTCAATAGAAAATGATACAATTAAACTTTTATTAAATTGCTATTGATGGTTATAGTTTATGGTTATAATTTATCATCATTAATTTTTCATAGGTGGTACAGGAGAGGATATAAAAGAATGGGTTAATATTCTTAACAGAGGAAAACTGCAATTTTCGCACATAAAGTTAGTTTATCCTAGTGCACCCAGTCAGCCTTATACTCCTATTGGTGGAATGGTAATATGATTCAGTTTTGACTAAATTTTCTAAAATTCTTATAACAAACAATTCTTGATATATATAAAATGTCTAAAACTTTATAAAACAAATATCAGTGACATTGATGTGCTAATTAAGATTTCAGAGTTACATTTACTCTATTATACTTTGTTGTGATTTGTCAAATTTACAATTTACTAATATTGTAGAGGCAAAATGTATGGTTTGATCGTATGACAATATCTAACCAAGTACCAGAGCATCTAAAATCAGTTGATTCTATGTGTCAAAGTATATCAGAATTGATTGATAAAGAAGTAAGCGATGGCATTCCGCTTAACAGAATAATTGTAGGTGGCTTTTCAATGGGTGGTTGTCTTGCCTTGCATTTAGCATACAGATACAAAACAGCTATAGCTGGTTGTTTTACTATGTCTTCGTTTTTAAACAAAGGATCTATGATATATGAGGTATATTCTTGTAATCAAATTTTAAACATTTCACAAAGACTAAGCATACTTTTGTAAGAAGTTATCTGTTACTTAATATTTTATTAGAAGATGTAAGATCTATAAGATTATAATTTTTGTAATGTAACATTTTATATCTTATAGCCAAGTAATTAAGATATTTTTTATTTGTTTAAGTAATACTATTAATATTATTCTATTGGCTACTTTTTGATTTACCAATTGATACAATTGCAGCATTTGAAAGTAAATCCAGAACATAATAAGATACCACTTATTCAGTACCATGGTATGTTAGATACTTTGGTACCTATTGAATGGGGTGAGGAGAGTGCTAAAAATTTAAAGGATGTTGGCGTAAACGTAAAATTTGTGCCTCTGAAAAATGTTGATCATGAGTTGAATCGCGAGGAAATCCAAGATTGGAAAGATTGGCTCCTAAATATCTTACCAGACAAATAATTCACAATCAATTGGTAATTAAAAGTATTAGTATTATTGTTAGTATGTACATATCACAATCAAAAGTGACATTGTGTAATATTGTTGCATTTGTTTTTAGAAATTTGTATATCTTTACATATGGTGAGTGGCCAAATAAATATATTGGATTTTATTACAGCATCATAAAACATTTGAATTACTGAGAAGAATTATTTTGAGAAAAAGCTTGATCGACGAAATGATTGACGGATATTAGATGTTATTTATAAATAGCGCGCGATATTGCTTAATTGTCAAAGTGATCATCTAGCGGTAGTACATGACGTTGACACAAATAAAGTCTAGATGGCACCTTCTGTCCATCACCGCGCATTATCAAATATCGATGCAACAAGAAAGCGACAAATTTATCACGACATGGCTCGCACTGGGTCTATTCTCTTTACGTCTATGATATTTTAAGATCTTAATTGCTGCTGCGCCAATCTGCCATTATGTTGTGTTTGCAGGCTGTGCAGGTAAGACGGATCTAATGCAGTACATGCTAACTTGTTCCTAATTATTCTTGCTATGCTACTAACATTTACTGAATCATTGTCACAAAAAAAAAATAAATTTACAATATTTAAATGTGCAATGAAAAAATGAATTAAAAAATAACAATATTAATATTGCACTTTTCTAGTCTGCACTGTTAGTGCTAATTACAGATTTATTTGATGAAGGAAAAAATAGTAATTTGCAGCTAAATATAATGAAGTGCAATTGCATAAATCTGTTGAAACGACGAATATCTTTCTTATTAAGTAAGACGAGGAATTTGAATAAAATCGATGCTATCCGCTTGACCTGCTTTTTACGTAAAACGAAATGAGTCTGCTTATATTGCTTGCTGGTTACCGCGTTTTACACGCTTTTTAAGCAACGTTTTACTCCAGTTAGTCTACTTTTTCAATTTTTACATTGTTATTTTTTGAAGTCGTAATTGACATGACATTGCGATTTAATTAGATCCTCGGATCCATAGAGTACAGATTTATTTATGATTTATTTTGGACAGGTGTTTGGATTCTCGATATATCTATGTCGTGGGATCAACGCAATATATCTCATGACGCAGATGGATGTTACTTAGTCGTCGACATTGTCGACATTGTCGCCAAGACGCTTGGCCGTTAATATTATGGAAAAAGTAGGTCCGTAGTAACGACGTAGGGTAGTTGCGTTTAACTTGACCTTTTATTTCTTGCTGTTCTTGTAACACAGAATTTGGCGCTCGTTGCCGTTCCTTGTTGAGTTGAATTAAATATATATTATAATTTTTCACACAGAATTTTATCCATAAATATGAACTTATTTATAATTAATCTAAATATTTAAGTCAACGTATAATTTTTTATTAAATATGAAACTAGCTATTTAATTGATTATGAAAAGAAGAATGCATTTAAAGTAAAACTTATAATTCTGCTCTAAGTTAATCCCATCATTTTTTTTAAAATACGTTTATAAAAATTTTATGACATAACATTTAACAATGCATGCCTTATAGCAATATCAAGAATACATACTGAGTTCAGTCGATTATAGCACGCGATTATAGCACGCAAACTTCATAGTTACGCTATATACTTTATCAATACTTTATTTTTGTTATCATTTGCATGAAGTTGTTGAGTGAATATAATTAATTAATCAATTTTTGTATCAATTTATTCAATTTTGTTAAAATCTGAATTACAGTTACAACTACATCGAAGATTAAAATCGTACATTCCCCGTTACCCCATTCTTTCGTCTTTTGGCGTGCACATACAACGAGGGTGAGGAAGGTGGAATTGCGCCGACGAGTCCACCGGCGACGAATGCGCAGTGAAACGAACGGGACGAACTGCGACGAGTTTGCTGCGCCCCTCGGGTGGCTCTGTGGGGTGAGTGGTAGGTAACCTGGCGTTGTTCTCGACACCGATGTCGCATAGTGACACCGACATACGCGTTTTTCGCGCAGTATTGACTCGCGAGAAAAATATAAAACGCACGTTATCGGTTATCAGTTGTAAAACACCTTGTTGGTATCAACGTGGGATCGATGTTTAATGACGAGAAGCTCGTGGAGGGTGAACGTGAAGGGGAACGTGGATTAATGCGTCTCTTGAGCTAAGAATATACCTGTAAGGAGAAATCTTTAAAAAGAAGACATGAAACACACATACGCAAAATATATACACACATAATATATACACAGAGTGGAAAGCTGGTATTATAAAACATGGAATCGATACTCGACGATCGTGATAGCCGCGACGAGGAGTTTTCTACAGAGTAAATGTAATTATAACAAATTTTTGAGAAGAAAACGAGCAGATTGGGAAAGGACGTTTGTAAACATGCAAGTAGTCATAAAAAATGTGTGATTATCGCAAATGGATCTCTCGCTGAATAAAACCAAATAGGATTTTTTTGTCACATACTGTTAAAGAACAAGAGTGAAAGTTTAAAACGTTAGAGTGCGTCTCTAATCTGTGTATCTGGGTCATCGGAAATAAACTCTCGTCGACAAATGGCGTAACAACAATTTTAAACGTTTTTAAAACTTTATTATCTTCTAAAATATAATAAATATTTCTTCAGAAACTTTCAAAGAGTAATGGAAGCACATACATTGTAATATAATGAAAAATTTAATGTCTTAATTAATAATTTATTGACCATAGTAATTACATGTGATAATATTAATTGCCACGTTATCATGATCTAAGTCTGATATATCGCACAAATTATGCGGAATAATCACTGAGGAAATTCATACAATAAAAATTAAACAAAATCGAACGCAACATATTTGCACAATGATATTTCTCGGATTAAAGAAGCGACTCTTCGGTATCATTTTCCGGGTGCGTCCAAGGGCGGTGAATGCTCGACGGTATTGATGGTAAATAATATGGCGTGTGTTTGCCCGCAGTTGATGACGTCAAGGACCAAGGGGTATGTCGATGGTTCGATTTAAAGAAGCTGGACGACGAAAGTGAATACAACGAAATTTCCCAAAGGAAGAGAAACAAATTTCCCGAAGGAAAGAAGACGATTGCGTTACCGAAATAGGAAACGCAAGAAACATTCTTCAGTTGTGGAAGAAACTCAAAGTTTTTTTAATAATCTGTTGGGACGGGATCCGTTTCTGAAGAAACCTTTTCCAAGGATTAAAAAACCGTGAAACAAATCAATGTACATGATTTGAGTGAATTTTTTGTTTTCAATTTTTCAATTTTTCAACATCTTTTCTATAAAAATAGGAATACTTATATTCTAATAAATGCGAAGAATCTTTTGCCAAAGATAGAAAAGAGTACATTGTAATCTATTATGTTTTTCTTTCGAGAAAATCTTAGTACATTTTTTTTCTCAATTTTCAGGTCTGTAAAGATTTCTTGTACGTAACAAATGCAAAAAATTTTACGTAAGAAAGAAGAAAATCTTTCAGTCGATTGTATATTTTTCACTTGAAAGACTTCAAATAATCTCGACAAATAAGGCAAATGTCTGAAAGATGCTGGGATAAATCAAGATAAATCTCAGACAGAGAGAGAGAGAGAGAGAAAGAGAGTGCAGCATTCCAAGGGGTTGCAGTATATCGAGTGTAAGGTTGGCGAGAGGGGTAAAAGAGCCGAGAGTGAGGTCGCGACGAGTGGCGTTCTTCCCGATTGGGAAATAGAGATAGTCGAAGAGAAGCAGCAGGTTGATACATACAAAGTGGGGACGTTGCGGAAATAGGTCAAGAGTGTCTCGGCGATAGTAGTGGCAGCCTCTATTTGATGTCCTGCGTCGAATAGATCGCGCGAGAAATCCAGCGCGAGTGCTATGACGAATATTATCACATGGATTGAATTCGAGTAAGAAAGACAAGTACTTTCGGAGTTCACAAATTTTCACTGCACCATTAATGTAATCATATGATTGAAATAAGTGTTCCATTAGTGTGGATTTCAATTGCTTTAGTGATTTGAAATTTAAAGTAACTGTGCGATTATTGTAAATTCCAAAAAAAAGCTTTATAATTTTACTATTAATTAATGTAATAAGAAACAATTAAAGAGTGGATTTGGATTTCAGCTCGATCACAAGTAATACGATTCGATAAAAAAAAATCCGTAAATTATTGCGGACGTTAATCTTCAAATTATACGAAGTTTGTGCAATGATGTCGACACCAAGGAACTAATCTTGCTGTTTAACGAATGCGAGCTCATTGAAAATACAACGACAGTCACAACGAGGCATGCAAAATCATTGCATTTGACGACGCTTCGCGCAAGAAATGCATCATTTATCGCGGCAGAAGCACATCCGATCGTCGTCGGTTCACATGCTGAAGCCCGCGCGTCGTCGGTGTGATCGCATTATCATCGCCGCCGCCAATTCACGCGGGGAGACATAGTCGTCTCCTCTCTCGCCGAGAAATCCGACGAGTTTTTCATCATTTTTATGGTTTACGGCTCGCGCAGAGCCACGGAATCAGCAACCACCACGGGGATCGCTTGGCTTCACAATATCACTGCTCAAGGCAAGTCATTTCTTCGTTTATCCAATTTAATCGATATAACAAATATTATGCAGAAAACTCTGTAATCTCGTTTTGCTTTAAAAATTTTTACAATTAAATATATAATAGGATTTAATTGATGCATGAAATAAACGGAAATAATGAATGATAAATTTACGTCAATGATTACGTGTGATTTATCAAAATGTGTAATAAGTATAACGATGCAATATGCTAAATAGCGCTCATAACTACAAATTATAAAAATTCACGGTTTAATAGTTGTCGTACAATAAGTCAACCGTGATACAAGTAACTTGCACCATCACTATCCAGAGCTACAAGACCGATCAATTTCTTATCAGGTCGCGTTTGTGTTTTTTTTTTAACGATATCTTTAATCAGAACGCCGCACCGCCCGCAGAGATTAGGAGATGATTGTTATAAAATTTCTTTACACGCGAGCACGCGATTGATCGATGTGTCCAATGCTTGCCCTACTCTCTCTGTGCCTATGTAAGATATTACGATCGCCGTAAAACATCACTTTCACTTCATGTCCATCGTATGACCAAGACAGAAACTATGAAATTTGGCTTATTAACATAAGAGAGAGCCCACGCAACGTAACGATTTCATCTGCATTTACATAATACTCATTATTATTCATAAGATATGTTCATAAAATACATTCAAGTTACAGGAAGTAACTTGAATATTTCTGATTTTGAAATTTTAATATACATCATTATATTTCCTTATATCGCACAAATATTTAAAACAACGGCTTAAAAAGAATTAATAAATGTTGATACATTTTTTTTCTTTTTAATTGAAAGGCGCTATGAAAAAAACTTCTATGAAGTGACTTTTATATATTCCATACATCATCTATATTTTAAATAACACTTTTGTATTACTTAAAATTTAATGAAAAAATCTCTAATTGTTTTTCGCGCAATGACGAAGAAACAGAAATTTTATTTCATTTACAGAGTTAAAGAGTTAACAAACTCAAGGATCTCGCTCTTCTTTGATTACTTTTGAGACGATGTTTTCTCAGAAAGAATGTTGGAAAGTCAACAGTTTCCAAACAACCGAGAATAATATATCCTTTGAGTACCAAGTTTAATACATCTGTTGCGTACTAGGAAACAATTAACGTCATCTGTTATGTTATTTCAAATTTATTTAAATTTAGATTTGCGGTTTACTTATTAAACATTTTATGCTAAAAAGTAAAAAATTATGAAAAGAACGGAGTTCGACTAAAATTTCATTAAGAAAGAATCGATTCCAGATTATTCAAAGATTTTGTTACAAATTTTTATGTATATATAAAGTTTTTATATATTGTACATTTGTTTATAAATACGAGGGTAGTTTGAAAAGTTCTTGGCCTGACACAGAAATGACGATAGAAGTATTAAACCGCTGTAATTTTTTGCAAGTTTTATCCTGCAGAGGGCTACTGTCAAAATTTCAGACGGATACGTTCATTAGTTTCTTTATTTTGGTCATGTAAAGCAATCAACTTTTGGTTTTCTTTACAAATGGATAAAGTCGAATATCGCGCAGTGATAAAATACTTCGTTTTAAAAGGTTTAACGGCAACAGAAATAAAAAACGAGCTTGATTCAACTTTGGGAGAATCTTCACCATCGTTTTCAACTTTAAGAAATGGGCTGCTGAATTTAAACGTGATCATACGTCCACAAAGGATGATGAAGGTCGCCCAAAAACCGCTACGACTGACGAAATCATAAAAAAAAATCCATAGTGCCGTGTTGAATGATCGACGAGCAAAAGTGCGTGAGCTTGCTAACATTGCAAACATCTCAAATGATCGCGTTCACAACATCTTATATGAACATTTGCATATGAAAAAATTGTATGAATTGCGCTTCGAATTGGTTCCGCATGCGCCGTATTCACCAGATTTAGCCCCCAGTGACTTTTTTTCTTTTTAAACATGAAGAAATGGTTCGCTGGAAAAAGATTTGGCTCAAATATCGAAGTAATCGATGAAACTAACGCTTATTTTGAAGGTTTAGAGAAATCATATTATACAGACGGTATAAAAAAAGTTAGAATATCGTTGGAATAAGTGTATCGAGTTGAAAGGGGACTATGTTAAAAAATAAAAAAAAATTTTGCCGAAAATCACGTGTTTTCTGTGTCGGGCCGAGAGCTTTTCGAACTACCCTCGTAATGGATCATAAAAAAATGTTACATTTTAATTACAGGCGAAATGAGCAGCGGTGGATTCGGCGTCGGCGTCGGCGTCGCCGCCGGCGGACCGAGCCTCGCGGCTGCCCAGCAGGGCCAAGGAGTGGCCGCCCTTCTGGTGATGCTCGCCGTTCTCTGCTTCATCTTCGCATACTGTTGTTGGGGCGCGCCCTTCTGCCGGTCCTTGTGCAGACGACATTGCTGCTGCCGTTTGGAGGATCCTGAGCCAGACCCGCGATTCGGCGGTAGCGATCAGGCCATGGTGGCGACGCCGACGATCATCCTTCTACCGCATGGCAGGATGCTCGTTGTTGACGGCACGATCTTTACACAGTTTCAGACCGATCCCACAGGTAAAATCTTAACATATCATATAAATGAACAAGAAACATAAATTAAGAAAAAAACATCTGTATCATTTTACATTGTTTTTCAAATAATTGATTAAATTATAGTTATAATAGATACAGTTTATATCTTTGATACAAAATTTTGAGAAATCTTTTAGAGTAGATAAGATGTTTAACATTTGTTAACACAGGTTTGGACTTGGTGGAATTGGGCGACAGCGTATTGCGTGCACAGAGAAATCCGCGAAGCGTGAACCGTCATCAGCTGCAGAGTAGCCAGGGTAGCATTCTCGAAATGGACGCCGAGACACCCAGCAAGGACAGCTTAGGATCTGTCGGGTGTTTTCCACCGCCCACTTACGAAAGTATCTACGGCAAAGAGGAAACCGACATGCCTCCCTCTTATTCCGACATTCTCTTGCACAGGTGCAAGATTTTTTTTATCTGCAATATGATGTTAATTATAAATTACTGCCATTGTTATCTTAAATTATTTAATTACAATGCTATTAATATAAAAATTCAACCTGGTTTCCAGATTCGCGAATTTGCCGCACGAAATTGACATGCACGGCTACTGCCGTGATGGCAAAGAGGAGATCGAGATGCAGAGCCTGGACAGCTGTCCGCACATTATCGGCAATCCGTTAAATTCGGTGCCTGGATATCATCCTTACGCCACAGTGACTAGCCTGTCCAGTCTACAAAGCTACCCACGGCGGAACGTTTCGCGCAATCCGTCCATCATCAGTAACCCGCTGGATAATTTCTATGTGGACAACGAGCTCGGTCTTTATCGACTCAGTCGGGAGACTATGCCGCGGGTCTCCAGCAACGACGCGAATCTCGAGACCTTCCGCGCTTCTCACGACGAGATGTCATTTCGCATCCCGCTCGACGAAAATGAGAACCATCGGCACGCCGATCGCAACAATCATCAGGTGGCTGGCAATGAACTGATGAACACGAGGAACCGTACCCGCAGCGCCTCTAGGCTGAGTCAGGACAGCCGCCGGAGTTCGCTGAACCGTGATGGAGACCAGCATCAAATCTTTGTCAGACTGCCCGACTCAGTAGAAATCGAGACTGCGCTAGATAGACGCATTGACGAGGATCAACGACATTCTCGGATATATCACGAGGATCAGAATGTCAGGAACTCGCATCTAGATCATATCCAGCTGCAAGACGAAGTGAATCGAAACGTCGACAACAATCCCAGATACTTCGCGAGAAACAGACAGATAGAAAACGGAGACAGGGGTCAGGACGAAGTCGATGGGGCCCAGTATCCCGACGAGGAGGCTGGTAACTTTGGCGCGCTCGCGGATATTCGCGAGAGTAGAGTGTAATCTGAACTTATATTTGTGCATAATTCTTTTGAATAATTGGTAAGAAAGGCTTAAGTCAGATTTCTTCAAACTTGAGATAATTTAAAAGTACGTAGAAAGTTTTGTCTGATTTTTCATATAAAATCTAGTTAAAATAAAAAAGCGATATCTATTCCAAAATTATTTTTGTTTTTAGTAGAAACTGCATTAAGAGAGAAACGATTATACTATTTTGTAATTAATAATGATATTTTACATTTCATGAAAAAGATATCTTGGCTCATGTCTTTATGTCAATTTGATGAACACATTAGCAATGTACCGCACAACGGATAAAGGTTTCGAAAGTTAGATAACGAATGGAAATGGTTGCGACGAATTTTTTATGATATAAGTTATTAATATAGTATTTTAATTATGTTCACAAATTAAAATCCAGGATAAAAGATTGAAAAGTTGAGAAGTTATGGTCACATAAGATAAATATTGCAGAAGATATTATAAAACGTTGTTATAATTGTATATATATATGTGACAATATAATAATTGTACATGACAGTCTAGAGAAATTCGTCACACATATACGTACATACATATACGCAACATATTTCTGGTAAATTGTACTGTATGAAACTGAACAACGATAGTTTTGAGGAGGCTTGAACGAAAGCTTTTGCGCATTGAAACGATTAGAGAGAAATCGAAAAAAGAGATTCATGGATATCTTCGAGACATATTGCACGACGAAAATATCGAAAGTACCAAATAGTTATTATTCTCTTACAAAATAATGTAAGCAGAAAAGATAAATATCATACAAATTGTATTAGTTAAAATCCTTAACAAAGAAACATCGACTATAAGAAATTAGTGAATGCTGAACGATTCGCAAAATAAAGATGCTTTCATGTGCGAAAAATTATGTTTAAGTCTAAATTTTAAGTCTAACAAACAAATCAGCAAAATTAGCTCAGTCCGTCCAAGCTTTAACACACTCACTTAAGTTTCACGAATAACACTGATAGCAAATTAATCGTGATTAGTGATTTTTATTCATATTTTGTATGTAAGTTAAGCAGACGCCATAATCATCAAGTGATTGTTATATATTTGCTTCTTATATATTATTTGCAGAATGTACTCGTTTCACATTTTTTAAATGATACTATCCATGTTGGACGCATCGCACGACTTAAATATTTGCGAAACGTGATAAAACAAAATTAAAACTGTGGTAATTAAACAAAACAAAAAAAAGAAAAAGCGATAAAAATTTACATTAAAGAAAAACGTTAAATGCAATATATCATATATTAATAGAAGTTTCAGGAAGCAAAGGACCTATATTGGACCTGGATAATCAGATATGTACAGCAAAGTATCAAAACGTTAAACCGAACCATGTATACTCTAGAAAGCGAACAATGATAACAATTGATTTTAAATACACTTTTTGTGTACACATTATATGTGTAAGATAATTATATAGAGAGTTGTACACATACGTTATCACTGTTGCCGTGTATCGTAAGGAGAATCACCGATCGAAAAATATTACGAGAATAAAATCGTCAAGAACATAATACTGTGTGCCTTCCTAGTTTTTAGATTGCTAGATGAAGAATTTCTATAGACAACGTGATTTTTGTTCCACAATGGCTGAATATTTCGACCAAACTTTGTTTTCTTCATTTTTAATGTAATTATGTTGACAAAAAGACAAAACAAAATCTGCTTTATAATCTGCAGATTTAATTTTATGAAAAAGGATATCCTCAAATGATATCAATAAATCGATAAACAATATCAGTAAATTGTTTCACATAACGAGAAACATCTAGAGTTTACATTGTATATACATGTTATATTTAATTATAAAAAACGTTTACTGATCACATAAAAAAACGGAAGGCAAGATCAGTTATATAAATGCACAAATTAGTAAATTGATAATTTGTGAAATTTAATTCACAATATTTACATATTTATTCCGAAGGTTATCGATAACTAGCTATATACATAGTCGATATTAACATCTTTATGACTAATTATGATTACCTAAAAAATATCATATAAAAATTTCATTATTTTTAGTCTACTTTGCAGTCCATATCCTCAGAAGCTGAGTCCTCTTCTTCTGTATCCTTTTTGTCCCAGTCTTTCAATTTGGCTCCCATGACAAAGTCCTCACGGAGGACATTCCATATTTTATCATCCTTCAAATGGAAGCATTTTCATCATTATGCACAATTGTACATTGCAATGTAAAAAAAAATGTGTACCAATTTCAATAAACATGGTTACATATGGCCTTGATATATGCATTAAAAATTTACAAATTTAATACTTAAGATGAATAAAAAATACATTAGCTATTTATATATATATTGATCTCAAATAATAAATAAGAGGCTGTACTCACCTTTTCTTTATTGTTTGTCTGTTCAACAGGTTTTTCAGATTTAAGAGCATTATGAATTGGTATACTTTTACTACCACCCATAAGAATATCAAGGAAGGAATTTTTGTTAATACTCTTAAGTACTTGTTCCCGTTTTCTTTCTAACGGTCCTGCTTGTGATAGTTTCTTATTAATTTCCATTTGTTGCTGTCTGACTGCATTAAACAGTTGCACAACTCCTCTACAAAACAATATAGAGATTTTATTAACTAACTAAAAGCAGCAAATCAGAATTTACAATGTAGTACAAATTACCTTGTGGCTATTTTCTGCAACATTCTTTCATGCTCCCGATCTGTAATAGATGGTTTTACTCTGATACCAAGACTCTTCTCCTTAATTCTTGATTTAATTTGTGCAGTATGTTCTTTTGTCTCAACACTAGCTTCTTCTGATTCTGTTTTAATCTCATCTTTAACACCATCAATCTCAAAAGGAATATCTTCTTTTTCTTTTTCTTTTATTTTAACATCGCATAATCTCTTTGCCTTGGCCAATACTAGTGTCTTTTTTCTCTTTGGCTTATTTGTTTTGAGAATCTTTTGCATAACATCCGCCCATCCTGCATTTGATGTAGACTTATCATCATGCAAGGACTCATTTATGTCATTCTCCATGCTGAATGATTTGAATAAAATCTGCAAACTATTTTGTAATTAATTCACATTCACGTGGTGTGCACTAATCGGCTACATAACCTGACATAACCAGAGAGAAGACTGAGAGTGGACATGCCCGCATTTTACGTGTTTCCGTAGGTTAGCGCCTCTATGTGCACAAAACGTGCACATTGAACTACGTAGCCAAGGTCCACGAATTCCGTAGGCAATGTCCACGATCTTTTGGGTCTCTTCCGTGCTACGTCCACGACTTTTTGGACAAGTGTCCACCGACACTTTGTAGATATAGCACATATCGAAACCAAAAAGTCGTGGACGTAGCACGGAAGAGACCCAAAAGATCGTGGACATTGCCTACGGAATTCGTGGACATTGGCTATGTAGTTCAATGTGCACATTTTGTGCACATAGAGGCGCTAACCCACGGAAACACGTAAAATGCGGGCATGTCCACTCTCAGTCTTCTCTCTGTTACTAGCATTATATAAATTTAATTACTAGATTTTATTAATTAATTTATCGACAACAATATATCGATTAATAATCGATGTTTCTAAAAAAAATTAATTATGAAATCGATATTTTTAAATACCCATTATTTTTATTTAAATTTTATTTTTGTAATGGAAAGAGCCTTGAAGGAGTGGGAATGTACCACTGTGGAAAAGAGAGAACTATATTGGACGGGGACGTTTATTTCATATCTGCTTTATTTTTGACACTGAACTACAGTATAGTAGTTTATATGCTCAATTAAAATGGTGAAAAATTGTGTTGTAAAAAAGTGCACAAATACTTGGTTTCCAAATAGTAATGTTTCATACTACAGGTATGTAGTATATATATGTTAAACTTAATACTTTGTTGTCAAGAGACGTACGGTACATTATTGCGAGCTACATATAACCCTTACTACTCTAAACTCCTTGTCATAAATAGAAATATTGTGCCAAACTTGCTTGACAGCAAAGTATTAATCAAAATACATTTGTTTTTCTGTTAAAATTTGCGAATATGAATTTTCTGATTAAGCAATTATGATTGTAGATTTCCTTGGTCTGATAAAGATCGTCTGGATCAATGGTTGGATGTTGTTCCAATCAAGAATCACATTAGCAAATATTCAGTAATATGCAGTGCACATTTTAAAGATTCTGACTTTCAAAGAGACAGAATTCCTCGAGTTTTGAATAAAAATGCTGTGCCCAGTCAATTTGACTATGATGTACACATTGTGAGTATTCTTGATTATTATTTTAAATTAATACATTATTGTGTGTAATAACTGCTGATATATTTATTTATTTACTTAATAATAGGAAGCTCACTCGAATGAGAAAAGAAATTTTTCTCCACCATCAATACCTTCAAGTACAAATACATTAATTATTGATAATGTTATTGAAATTTCTTCATCTAATGTAAAATCTTCAACTGATTCAAATTTAATGAGTTTTTCTGTATCTCCAAATACACCAATTATTGGCTCTGCAAAAACTGTTAATTTGAATGAAAGCATACGATTGATAACTATTTCAAATAACAGTGAATATTTTCCTTCAGAGGAGCATAACTATAATAAACAAAAACCAACAATAAAGGTGTGAATGTTTTACTTTTTATTAAATTAGGACATTGGTCTAATTATAATCAATTGATACATTATATATATTTTTTTAATAGAATGCTGCTACGCAAATGACTAACCACAAAAAATTCCCCACTGAGAAAGAAATTAGAATGCGACGTATAATAAAAATTCTTCAATCAAGATTACGTCGCCGGGAACTGAAACTAAAGTATATGACTCAAGTGATAAATCTTCTAAAGAAGAAAGGTAAATGTACTGAAACATTGCAGTTGGAAACATTGGTTTTGCAAAAATTTTCAAATTTAAATGATCATGATTATGTTACAAATGAAAGTGAGAACAATTGCAAGACTAAGAGTAACATAATTTTTGCTGATATTGTCAATAATGTAATTAATAATAATGATAAAAGTAAAACTCGGTTTCGATATACTGATAAAATAAAGGAGTTTGCCTCGACGATTTATTTTTATTCACCAAAAGCGTATGAATACCTGCGGGATATATTACATTTACCAGATATGTCTGTTCTCCGAAAAATAAAAAAGCATCATGCAAAACAAGATTTGTGAATAGCGTTTTTGATTTTCTGAAAGCAGAAGAAATGCACTTTGGTTATATTCATGATAGTCTCATTTTTGATGAAATGACAATTTGAAATTGCGTTTTAATAGATCAAAAAGAAAACAAACTTCGAGGCATCATAGATTGTGGCAATGTTGTTAAAAAAATAACTTATAATGATTTTAATAGTGATAGATTAATCTAGTGATAGAAATGCAATAACCTTGTAATTTAGATATTTAAGTTTATCATCAATCGATCACTATGTGTAATGTTTATACCTTAAGGCGGTATGAGTTAATCGCCAGCGCCATCTGTACTCTTTACTTCCAAATAAAAAGAGAAAAGATATGATATAACACACTTAACCCAAAATTAACATTAAATAAAAGCAATATATATTTAGTGGATATGTGTTTATTTAAAAGTTATACACAAAGGTATCCAAACAAAGCTTCAGAGAAGAACATAAGAGTGTCAAAAAAATCTCTGTAACTAGACGAAATTGACGATACGTTAAACACGTAAAATCCCCCTAAAAGCAATGTATATAGCTCGTAAAATTTTATGAATAAGTTAATTGAAATTTCCGTATATCTGATTGCAATTCTGTTGAACGAGATATATCTATAAGTCTTGAGCATAGTCTTAGATACAAACTGAGCGAACAAAGAATGAATGAACACAGAGGCATAATTTTAAATATGTTATATTTTGTAAAATTGCAACATTGTCAGCATATTATTTAGTAACATGCTGAAAAGTTTCATGCTAGTAGTTATCACATAATAACTGAAACTATTAATCTTGTCTGAAAAATATTCTACTTTTACGTATAATTATATCCAGTTTCATTGTCATCTTTGCAATGGTGACAAGTTGATTGTGTTGATAATGACTAAAATTGGTATTATATAAATAGTTATTTATTCTTTCATATATTAAAGATATTATCACCTCGTATTCTAGATGACTAAAATGTCGTCATAAACTGACGACACACTGGCGAACTGTTGTATGAGAGATGATTAATCTTTATTTTTAGTTCACACTAAGGACTTTATCCTTCAATATACCGATTCATTCTTATGCGGAACTATACATCGAACGTAATCATATCGTATGCATTTTCTTTTCTTATATAAAACATAATAGTATTATATAAAACATAAGTGTTTAAAATATATATGCTTACATTTTGAAAAAAGAAAGAAATAAAGTAGTGAAAGATGTAATTAAAAAAACAAATTTTTAACAAAATATAAATTTTTATCTACAGCAAATATCTATAAATAAGTATCTTTTATTCAACTGCTTCACGTTTGCTTAATAATTAAAAACTAAATGCGGATGTAATTAAACTCCATTTTAGTGCGCACTTGCAGTTTCTTCCCATTATGTGCATTCGTCAATTGTTTGATTGCGCTGATTCCGCTAAATTGGTTAAACACATTTTCATTCACCTTGCGCGTGATATGTTGCGCGCAACATTTTTTTCTTCTTTTTTTCCCCATCATCTAAACATAAATTTCTTTTGCTTATATATAAAAGGTATATAAACAAACGCATCTGACGCATCTTTATTTATTTCCATTATTATCACAAAGAAATTTATTCTTGGATACATTTGCACTTTCTTTGTTCCTTTTTTCTCTCCGTCTGAATATATATCTGTTTCATTCTAGGTGCAAAAAGGATAATGTAGCGCAGTTGTAAGGAACAGAACCCGCAGAATCCGTGGTCGTCCGTAGCCGTCAGTCAGTCAGTCGCAGCCAGTCGATTGTGTCAGTAGTCAGTTGAGAGCAAGCGAGCGCGACGACGCGCGTCCCCTTGTAAAATGGCAGAACGAAGTCGTGCGGGTTTCCTCACGCTTCTCTACTTGGCCTGCTTCGTCGCACAGACGGTGCGATCGAACCCAGTAAACATCCCGTTGAACCGGGTGCCGTTGACGCTGTGGGAGAGGGCGTGGAGGGCCTTGAACGATCACTCACCGACGCATCACCTGTACGCGCACGGCAATTTGATAAATGCGCAAGAATTGGTGAGTTACGCCCGCACAATCGCGAGAAAAATAAATGCAACGCCTATATTGTATAGACATTCTAAGTGTGTGCTTCTAGTCTCACGGGGATTTTATTTTATTTTTGGCATAGCCTCTGATAATGCTTGAGAGCTTACGAATATGTAAGTTGATCTTTCTTTGTTTCACGACAGATAGCTAGCGTCAACAATAAACAGAGCTTTATTTGCATATCTAATACGTTATAAGTCACGCTACAATATGAATCATATAGCTGGAGTAAAATATTATCTATTTGTTGCATAGTTTAATTTTTTTCAAGTAATATTGGATTATTGGATAATTGATTAAAAAATTAACATTTAATCTATTGCTAATAGAAGAAAATAAATGCTGGAACGGAAAGAATTTGTAGGTCTGAATTACGCCAAAATATGTAACTATTGTAAATTCTTGCAGTCTCTTTCATTTTCTTGATTGCAATTAATGATCGATTTGAAATAAAGTTCCCCTAAAAACTTGGATAAGATAATATTTTATTTATGAAACTGTGATCATATGTATCTTTCTATCTTTGCATGTCAAAGTATATCTATGTTTTAAGGCAATGATAAACTGAGATAATGTTCTGGGTTATCAGGCCAAGTTATACTACTCAACTGGAAAAATGTATGGAAAATGTTACTACGCAGTAAATTACTGTCTTTGTAAAATATATTATGCTTCTCGTGTTATCTTATAACAGCAGCACAAGATAAATGTGTTATAATGGCTTGAATAACAAGCAATGCTCATATTTTAACTAATAATGACCATATCTATATGAGATTAATTGCTTATGATAATTCACACATTTTATTTAGCATAGATAACTGCTTTATTATTACAGGAAGAGCCACCCTACAAAGTCTACAAGTTCACGTATGACTTGAGTCCAATATGTGGAGCGGAATCTTGTCCTAGAGAAGCTTGTACGATTGATCTGAAGCAAGACGAGAATGGTGACATAGAAACGCTGAATGACTCTATTCAGTGCATGTACTTCTACCCAGCCGACGTGCAGAATGACGTGTCGCAAGAGCAGCAGAGCTATCAAGAACAGGATGACTCTCAGGCGACTCAAGAGAATCTGGCCGAACAGATAAATAGCAATCGGAGCGTCGAATTGGACCACGAGATTCAAGAGAGCAACGACGACAACATCAAACCGTTTATTGCCATGCGCGCTTCCAGCACCTACTGTCCAGGCTGTCCGTACGAGCTAAATCCGAACTTGCCAGGTCTTCTTGTCTTCGGTGAGCAAGCGTTGAAGTCGATGGACGAGCAGACTCCAGGCGATTACAAGCACAAGCTGATGAGCATTGTGAGAGTCACTCGCTCGGTACCGGTCTCGTCTAACGTAATACAATATCAGTTGCTGCTCCTGATAGGCGAATCCGAGTGTCTGAAGAATGCTTTGGAACAGGAACAGGAGTGCTTATTGCGAACGACTGTTCCGACCAACTTGTGCCTGGTGACGTTTGAGCAGAGACCTTGGCAACAGGCGTCTCTCACAATTACCAAGAATAACTGCACAGATTCGGAAAACACGCCTAGTGTCCAATCCCAGCGACCAGAATTGGAGACCCAATCCTTAGTAACAGTCACGTTCGAAGAAAAACAATCGCCTCAAACCGAGACAATTGACGCTTACGAAAGCTTGAAGGCTATGCTGGATAATTACACCCACGCACCTTTGACACCCTCGAAGGAACCCAATGAAGCTGCGATGACGGAGTCTACGATTGTAAAGATAGTGTTGAACAGGAGCCAGGATGACGAGAAGATCGTGAGCTTCACGGACAAGAGCAAAGAATTTAGCGAATTCTTGGAGGATTTCGATCTGCCTATTAAAGTAGAAGAAGCCACACCAGATACGCGCGAAGTCGTGAAAGAAGAGAAGTTTCAGCAAAAGAAGATTTCTGCAAAGAACAAGGTCGAAAAGGCAAATGACGGAGAAGACGTCGTCATTAGGAGAAAACGATCAAGACCTGGTGCATCTGAATTGATATCTACACAGAATTCTGACATCCAGCTGTATATTGAAAAAGCATTGCGCAAAGTTTCCCAGGAGTCGGAGAGTCAAAACGAGCCGCTTGTAGTGGAGATCACTGAAGCAAGCGTGCAGACAGTTAGCGGTCGGCTGTACAAGATCAAGGTGAAATTAGGCACCAGCGATTGCCCCAAGGGCACCAAGGACAATTGTCAGTTGCAAGCCGAGAGCGACATTCAGGATTGCGAGATATCGGTATGGTCACGACCGTGGCTCGACAAAGGCGAGCCTCAGATAACAGTGCAATGTTCCGCGCCAGGAAGAAGGAAACGTTCCCTGCGCGGCGCTAATTACAACCAGAAGATGCTGCAAATCGTTGAGGACATGAAGACCGAGCGGCTATTCGACGACTTCGTGGCAACCTACAATCGCACGTATTACACGCCGGAAGAAAGAAACTTGCGACTCAAGATATTCCGCGAGAATCTAAATATCATACGACTGTTACGCAAGACCGAGCAGGGCACCGGTCGCTATGGTGTCAACATGTTCGCCGATGTGTCGCGCGAAGAGTTCCGAATGCTCTACCTCGGCCTGCGACCGGACCTAAGATCGGAGAACGATATTCCTCTCAAGCAAGCCGAGATTCCAGATATCGAATTGCCGGATACCTTTGACTGGCGGCAAAAGGGCGCCGTGACACCTGTGAAGGACCAGGGTGCATGCGGCTCGTGCTGGGCCTTCTCGGTGACGGGGAACGTCGAGGGCCAGTATGCGATCCAGCACGGCCAACTGCTATCGCTGTCAGAACAGGAGCTGGTGGACTGCGACAGTTTAGACGATGGCTGCGGCGGTGGTCTTCCAGATAACGCGTACAGGGCCATCGAACAGCTGGGTGGCCTCGAACTGGAATCGGATTATCCGTACGAAGCGGAAAATGAGAAGTGCCACTTCAAGAAGAACTTGGCCAAGGTGCAACTAGCTTCTGCTGTTAATATCTCGTCAGACGAGACAAAAATGGCGCAATGGCTGGTGCAGAACGGTCCGATCTCCATCGGCATCAACGCCAACGCCATGCAGTTTTACGTTGGCGGCGTATCACACCCCTTCAAATTTTTATGTAATCCTAAGAACCTGGACCACGGTGTGCTAATCGTTGGATATGGCACAAGCAGTATGTATTCGTTTTTCGGTAGTTAAAAAGTTCTTACAACAAAAAACGATGAAGATTCAGAGAAATGCTAACTTTTTAATATTTTTGATGATTATAATTTAATAGATTACGGCACACGTGATTCGATAATCGAAAATATTCAACTAACATTTTTCTTTTTTTGGACGTCACATTTTTATGTGCTTTTAAAACTTTAAAGATTGCTAGCAATTGCATATTAAAATTATTGAACATGATAATGAACAGTAAGTACAAACGATTTCCTTTCTTTCCAGATTATCCACTGTTCCACAAAAAGTTACCGTATTGGATCATCAAGAACAGCTGGGGAAAACGATGGGGCGAGCAAGGATACTACAGAGTCTACCGTGGAGACGGTACCTGTGGGGTTAATTCGATGGCCTCGAGTGCTGTGGTTGTTTAATGCCCAGGTTGACTACATAAATAAGTTTTTTCATGACAACTTATATTCGTTCTAAACAAGTTATACATGATACATATTATATATATATATATATATAGAGAAAGAGAGAGATATCCTTTTCTACTAACTTAACGTTAACTTCGGAATTGAATCCATTTGCCTGCCAAATATTTGACAAATGCGACTCAACCTCGTCATTATGCTTTATAGTAACCACTTGATATGATACTCAGCTTAATTTTGCAACGATTTGGCAAGCGTATGAATCGTCTGGAGCCAGTTTTAGATGTGTATGTTGCGCAAGAGTTTGAATTGAGCTAAATTTAATTCTCTGTGTATTTATATCATGGATGGAAACAATGTAATCGTTGACATATGACAATCCTATTCGTTTATTGAAAGGTTTTAAATCAAATCGTATGGTAACCCGCTGATGTTTTGCAAATATTGATAAAACAATACAGGATAATATATATACATAACCAAAGTGTGTTATTATGCAACGATGTTGGGATTAGTGCAATGGAAGATATTAAATGTTAAATAACTTAGCAAAAGTAAATTTTAAGCGCGCATAAAGAGTTAGGGTAAAGGATGAAACTTTTGAGATACCTGTATATTTTATAGTTTTTAAGTTTGTGAAAAACAGGCAGCATTTTTTTAGATATTTTATAACGAAGTTTCAAGTTTGCGTAGATCTTGGAGAGTAGTTTTACATACGATTTGTTATAACTTGATTAAATTAAAGAATAAACGAAATCTGTAAGAAAGTAAATATACGAACATTCAAGTAGATGTTCGATTTTTATTAAACGTAATATAAAGAGGCAACTATGCGAAACCACGTCAATTTAATATATTCGAAATGTTTTAGCTTATATTTGAATAAACATATATGAAAAATCAAATTGATATATTATTAAAACCCTTTCAATAGTGAAATAAAAATTAAAAAACGAAATAAATTTTAATACGTTTTCATTAAACTGTAAAATTTATTGCAAATAAGAAATTGTTGGTATTTAGCTTCACAGTTTTTCCAATTTTGATTACCATTAAACGGGAATAAATCATTAGAAGACTGAAATATTTATATAATCGTGAAATTACAAAATTATTTTAACATATCGAATTGAAAAGCATTTATTTTTCAAAATTATGAAAAGGCATTGTGTTTAACGATTATTAAATGTCGAGATATATTTAATACATACATGTTAAAGTAACAAATCTTAATGAAAATTAAGGTCGTAAGGTTGAAATGATAAAGAATGTCTTTTAATGTTGATTAATAAAAGATATCCTCCAATATTCTGTGCCGATTAACAAAGTTTCGATGATGGTAACAAGCTCTACATAGTAAAAGACTTAACAGAGAAAATTATGATTCTCACATGATATAAATATAATTTTTTTACGAAAGCGGCAATGACAAAAGTTTGTACAAATGTGAGAATACATGTTACATCGCTTTCAATGCATTTAACATATTGCCGTGCGTAAAATATACCAAGTTTTTGAACATCATGAATGTTATGTGGAATTATGACATAATTTATTAAGAGTCGTAGAAGTAAGCCATTAAATCATTCTTGACATCTAACGTTTTGCAGAGAACACATATACAGATTTCTAGAAAAATCTGTATACCGATGGCAGGATTACATTCTTATTTATCTCAATAAATTTCACTCTTATTTTTTTTCACTGAAAATATTTGCACATATCTATTCAGTTTTATTTTTTGTACAGTATCTAATCTAAAATATACTCAAATATTTGATATTAATATTTAATAAAAATATTCTAATAATTTGAATTTTTCCAAAAATGACAATGGTTAAGAGCAATGATTAAATCATGAGCTTTGAATAAAATAAAAAATACAATAAAAGAGCAAAATTCTGCCAACGGTACACAGTTTGCTCATTACACACAGTAAATATTCATGTAAGACGTTAGATATTGATATACAAGAAATACCATTTACATCTTACGACAGTCAACACACAAGCTCTCATCTCATTAGGTTACCGATGTACTTAAACAATAATTCTTCTGTCCGATGATTTCTAAATCGAAATCGGTAGAATAAAATACTAGAGAATGTACAGCAGAGACAATTAATGATACGATAATCTTACGGGTCTTAAAGGCGATTACGTAATCGACATTAATAATAATTGTAAGATCCCCACTGATTGTAAGGGCCATAAGCTTGCGGTCCGCCTTGGCCGTATTGCCAGTTTTGGTAGTTAGCATAATTAGGATCCGATGGAGGTGGATACTGTTGATAACCTTGCTGGTAGCCACCCTGTCCGCCATACTGCCCGCCTTGGAACTGCTGTTGTGACTGGTAGGGCCCGCTCGGTCCACTGCTGTATTGGTATGAAGACTGTGAACCCACTGATGGTGGCGGTGGCACGTTCGACTGATCGGTCTTCACTTTCTTGGGAGGTGAAGAATCGCTGTAAATATAACAAAATAATCTTTTTAGTGAGAGCATTATTCCTGTTTCACAAGTATAAAAACAATAGTTAATTTAAATCAAACATTGTAGATTACTTATTTAGTAATTCATAATATTTATGTTTCGTAGTCAACGTTTGCTAAATTAGATAGTTGATTTATATTGTTCGATTTATGAAATTGTTTAAAATTATCTTGTACGATTAACTAATTTTATTTTACGTTTTCGGTGGGTACTTACGTTTTATTATCATCACCCTTCGTCTTCTTTCTCTCTTTTGCTTGCTTAATGCATTTTTGGAATTGCTCGTGAGCCTTCAACACTTGCCGAATGTCGGGGCTGAAGTCTTCCAAGAATTCTACTTTACGTTGCGCGAAAAGCACTCTCTGCTCAAGATCCGCATGTTCCCTTTCTATAAACATGTCCATGTAACCCACGATTTCTTGCGTGTCTACAGGTGTTCGTTGCATTCCCAAATCTATTAACTGCAGATACAGTCTGGGATTGTCTTTGTCTTTATCTGCGGCCTGTAAAAAATACGACGTACATATTAATTTCGCTACATGCAGGCAGGTTGACATAATTAATCGGGAGAAAATTTTGCATTTTAAAACGTACCTTCATGAGTATCTTAATCGCCTTGTCAACGTCATTCTTAACTTTACACAAGAACCGTGCGTATTTAACGACAATATTATTAGCAATTGTCCTGTTTTTGCTATTGCTAATATAATTCTCGTACAAAGTACATGCTTTCTCCAAATCTCCACGACGACGCTCCAAGTTTATTCGTCGATACGCCACTTGTAGCATATTAGGCAATACATTGTCAATATTCTCTAATATAGTGGCAGCTTTCTCGAAGTTATCTTGACCCTCCTCGAAAATAGCCCACTGCAAATGTAGATTTGGCTTCTTCGGATGATGCACCATACATGCTCGCGAATATACGTCTCGGATTTTTTCCGTGTTATCTCCTTTCAACGATTCCAAATAGCGCACAAACTGCGAACAGAAAATAAAAATAATTTTAACTAGCATTATGATATTATAATTAGAATGACTTGATAATTAGAATTAATTGATATTTACTTACTCGCATCCAAAATTCATCGTAAAGTGCGCAAGCGATAAGACACCTCTCAAACAAGATGATTATTCGATTTTGATCCTTTTGTTCGATCTCGAAATCTAGATATTCTTTCCAGTTCTTCAACTGACATCGTTCCAGCGGTTTTACGTGGAAGTACGGTCTTTTTATCTGTTAATCATACATTATAAGATTATTATTGCCCTAGATTGCGAAAGCTAATCTGGAATTCATTTGTTCAAAATATGAAATTAATACATTTGAAATTCTTAAATTTGGAATATACTTTTTTACTTACTACGCAAAACATTGTAAAAGACTGACTTCTGTATATTACAATGAATCCACATTTACTGCACAAATAGGTAGAGCTACGGTAAGGAATCGAAATGAGTTTCATTCATTTACAGCAGTGAAATCTTTCAATTCAATGAAATTAAAGTCTCATATTTTGTTCGAAGCCATTCAAAGCGTAATGATCATAATAAGCATTATATTATAATATCACATACTCCTTCCTCATACGACCATCTGGCAGCTACCGCATTGACGTTCGCCTTATGCATTTTGCGCCTGCTGCTGATGATCTTTTCGCGAATAGCACGCGTCTCCTCATCGGTAGGTGGCACTTCGTGAGGTGGTGGTTCCTCGCCGGGTGGCGCGTCGTCGGCAGCAGACGTGGTAGTGGTGTCATCTGATTTTAGGAGGGCCTTCACCTCGGCACGTAGTGCGAGGAAGTCATCCACGCTCAGGATACGATTCGGCAGGTTAGACGACACGAATTCCTGGAAAGCCTCGAAGTGGGAGATGTAGCCGAGAGTGGGCGTCGACAGTAAGCGATCGTACAATGCTGTCACTCTGCTCAAACGTTTCCCCTCCAATTCCCATTTTATATAGCTCTCCCAGAGACGGTCCGACCTGTTTTACATTGATTTGTTATATAAGTTAATTCACAATTTATAATATATAATTGAACTTTTTTATCGAAATAAACATTCTAATACTTTATTGATACACTACAATGCTATAGATCAGCAATTGAAATACTGAGAGAATAAATAAATTATTTTTTATAAAACTATACGAATATCTCTCGATTAAACATAGTACGACGACCGGAGTGTCTCAGAACATGAAAAGAAGTTTTAACTTTTTGCTATCGGTCAATGTGTTAATGAAATATGCAAATGAATGGAGCAAATTGTTAGATCTAGATCACCTGAACTCAAGTCCACAAGCTAGAATGGCTCTCTCGTACTGTTCCCGAAGTTTCTCCTCGTCCTTTTCATAAACAGTTTTACAGTGGTTGATGTAATGCAGCCACAAGTCGACACTTAGCGAAATAGCTTTCAGACCTTGGTCGAACACCTGCGGTAACGGATTTGTAGACCATATTTAGAGCAGTTTACAACTGGGTTGGGCTTATCGGCGGGTAGATCTTATACCTATTTTGCTTTTAGCTTTCGTTAAGCATTACGGTTTTTTTTTTTTTAGCAACGTATACTCACATATCGTGCGCGTACTGTAAATAAAGAGATTTAATTAACACAGAGATTGCAGAGCATTGTGCATTCACCTTAAAGTCAGGGAGTGTTCCGATCTGGACGCCACCGAGTCTTCCACCACTTTCTCTTGCTCCCTCTCTGGCACGTGCACGTGTCCTAAGTCTTTGTCTCTGACTTTGACTTAACACCCGACATATCTTACTTACATAAAGTAAGGGTAGCGCATATCTTATGCTTAAGTTTTACAATACTTTCTGTAGTAAGCTATGTGTACAAATGCTTACAGTAAATATAACACACAGTTTCGTCTTTTTTATCACGATAAGGCGCTTCGCAAAATCGGAAAGAACTAGCCATCATCTCACTCGACTTACGTATCATACGATAGAGTATTTGATATATTCAGTATATCGATAAAATAGTAAAATATGTAATATAGCATTTTTGTAAGTATCGCAAGATAATAATTAAATAAGTAATTATTCGATAAACGCAGCGAGTCGTATAGGTGCCGCAAGACGTGCTAGGCTGTTGAAAGGGAAAACCATATTTATGTGCGTGCACACTGCCCACGCGTCTTCCTAACTCGAGCTATTTTCATTAGATTACGTTAATTATAATTATATAATGAGAGATAGCCTAATAAACGTAATATACGATCGGACTCACCGTTTGGACATTTTCGGGGTTCCCCTTCTTCTTCTCGTAATCGGCGAACTTTCTCCAGTAACCGTAGCAATATGGATAACGCTCCAAGATTGTGTAAGCCTCACGCG